CCTCCTGCCACAGATATCATCTCCATTGCCTTTGGAGATAGTTGATTCTGTGTGTGTGTGTGTGTGTGTGTGTGTGTGTGTGTGTGTGTGTGTGTATGTGTGTGTACTGGTTAAAATATAAATATTAAGATACATGGCCTGTAGATGAACAGTCTTATTAAATAAGAAACACACAGCCAATTGTAGCATTAAAAGCCCAAGAGGTCAGAGCAATAGCTGAGAGCTAAAAACCCTTTCTTACCCTTCACTGCCACTGCTGTCCTTCCCCTCAGCAAGAGACCTACTTCCTGTGTATCTGTCTTTTAATTGACTTTCTGTTCTGCCTTCTCATTGGTTGTAAAACCAACCACCTTGTGGCATATTTTCATACCTACTCACTCTATTATATAATTTTAGTATTATACTTATTTATGATAATTATATGAAGCATGGCCTTTCCTATCAAAATAGCTCATGTCTTGGAGGAAAATGTGGTAATAACCTCCTCATCACTGCCTGTCTGTGCAGACCTCCAGGTCTTCTATGGTTGGTATTGAGATTAAAGGTGTGTGTTGCCAGGCAGTGGTGGTGCATGCCTTTAATCTGGGAGGCAGAGCCAGGCGGATCTCTGTGTGTTTGAGGCCAGCCTGGGCTACCAAATGAGTTCTAGGAAAGGTGCAAAGCTACACAGAGAAACCCTGTCTCAAAAAACCTATATATATACATATATATATATATATAGAGAGAGAGAGAGAGAGGGAGGAAGGGAGGGAGGGAGGGAGGGAGGGAAGAAGGAAGGAAGGAAGGAAGGAAGGAAGGAAGGAAGGAAGGAAGGAAGGAAGGAAGGAAAAAAGAAAGGAAGGAAAACAGAAAGGAAGAAAGAAAGGTATGTGTCTCCATGCTGGCTGTATCCTTGAACACACAGAGATCCGCCTAGCTCTGCCTCCCAAGTGCTGGGATTAAAGGCATGCGCCACCACCACCCAGCTTCTGCTATGGCTTGTTATTAGCTCTGACCCCCCAGGCAACTTTATTTATTAACATACAAATAAAATCACATTTCAGTACAAATAAAATATCACCATAATGGTCAGTGTGGTCAGAGTAATGTAGAGTGCAGGAGAAAGGAGTCTTCTGAGCCTTGGACTCTACAGGGATAAAGATGGGCTTCCAATTCCAAAAAAGAAAAAAAAAACAAACCATAATTTAAAGAGGCTAGAAAGTACCTCAGCAGTTAAGTAGAAAGTAGCATAGCAGTTAAGAGCACTGACTGCTCTTTCAGAGGACTCAGTTTCCGAGATCAGACGAGATCGGGCGCGTTCAGGATGGTATGGCCGTAGACAAGAGGACTCAGTTTCAATCACCAGCACCCACACGTGGCTCACAACTGTAACTCCAGTCCCATGACATCCTCCAGCACTCTCTCCAGACCTCCAAGGCCACTTCACACAAGTGATGCGCAGACATACATGTAAGCAAAACACACTAAATAATATAATATGTTTAAAACTTAAAACAAGAAGGACATGAAATAATTAAGAGAATTCCAGAGTTGGAATTCAGTCAGACCTTAATTTTGTCCAGACGAAGCTAGTCCTGACCAAACATAAATGCCAAATGTCAGGATGTACAACCCAAACTTTGCCTAGTTTCTGGATATGTAACATGATAATTCATGATGAAATGTTTCCCAGACTGAAAAGATGTAACATAACACTAAGAAATGTTTATGGCTTTTTAACGAAAAACAAAGAAACACATTATATTTAATTACTACACTTATGGGTAAATATAGAAAGAACATGAAAATGAGATTTTAAACAATGGCAGACATTGGCCTTGTAATTATAGAGGGCTAGTCTTGATGGTATGGCCAGTATTTACTGCTGCTGCTCGGTGCTCAGCTCTGTCATCCCTTCCAGTAAGTACTCTCCATGTCATTTATAAGCCTGACCAGGGCATTTAAAACAAACTTTGCCTAAAATTTTGACAACACAAGAAATAGAACATTTTACTCATTTTTCAGAGTTGATCAATGTTTTAATTTGACTCATGTAACTAGATTGTACAAAACAGATGAGGTATATTCAGGGCTATTGCAGAAGTTTCTGGAAATACTGTCCTTATCCAAAACCAAAATTCAAATAATGGCATTTTTTTTAATTAAAACTCAAGCCAGCAAATCAAGCATGAGTTTTTAAAGTGGGAAATCTAACAATAGAATCCAAAGACACGCTAATGTGATACAAGCTTAGGACTGATAGCAAGAACTGTGAGAAGACTTCATTTTCCATAATCACACCACCATGTGTCTGGAGGGGCAGACAACTTAGTGTGGAGCATAAAAACCTTGTTATTTAGGGCAAACAGGGTATTTGTGGGAGAGTTTCTGGGTGTTGTGTACTGTGATGGCATATGCCATGCTAGGTGAGCATGTTGTGCATTTAGAACATGGGCACAATTAAGTCAAATAACACAACACAGGCTAATGCTGCCAGACACAAATCACTGCACACTTGATTTTGAACTAATGTTTGATCATCATCATGCATTAGAAACCTTTCATTATTAAATTTTTTTTTCTTTTTATAAAATTTTTTCATTCATTTTACACACCAATCAAAGATCTACTTCTTCACTCCTCCCACTCCCCAACCTCCCACTCCCAAACCACTCCTTACTCTCACCCAAAACTTTGTGAGGTCAGGATCCACTCTTTAACAAACTGGAGACAAACCAACTAACTGGGAAGAAGGTAGGAGAATGGCTACATTGAGAGTTACACACACATGCTGTTTGAAACTCAGTTTGCTTTTATGATCATGGAAAATACTCCTGCCTCTCCCCACACCCAGATGGATGTCAGTCTTTCAAAAATTTTCTGTTTCTTGGTATCCACTATGGGATCCTTAATGAACATACCAATTATAAAGCTATAACCTCCAGACCCAACAAAGAATTCAGCGAGTCAGCACACAAGGACTGCAAGATAGCTCCATGGGTAAAGGAGTTTGCTCTCAAGCTTCATGGCCTGACTTAAATCTCTTGTACCTTACTGTAGCAGGGGAGAAAACACACACACACACACACACACACACACACACACACACACATTCTAGCACAGGTACACACACTCACACACATGATAGCACAGGTACACATACACACCATAGCTCAGGTACACAAACACATACACACACATACACACACATTCACACACACACACAAACACACAAATAGTACAGAAACATTTTTTAAGAAAACTACAAACAAGATGCTATCAGATGATCATAACTTAAACCTTGGAATGAAGACAGGAACTGTGTCCTTCAATATAAAATGAATATAAGTAGGTACTATGTTTAAAAAGATCTTTACTGTAATATTTATTTACATGCACATGAATTTGTATTTAATAACAACTAAGGTATAATTTTTCCCAAACACTAACACAGAATATGAAGGAAGTTATAAGATATCAAATGAGAGTGGCGTGGTGACATTAATTCCAGTACCAAGAGGCAGAGGTGAGCAGATCTCTCTAAGTCTGAGGCCAGGCTGATCCACATAGATAGTTCTGGTCCAGCCTAGGCTTTATAGTCAGAAACTGTCTCACAAACAAATAAAATCAAATAAATAAAACATTCAAAATAAGAAACCATGAAAATATGAAATCTAGACTTGTATGGGTCTCTAAGATTACACAGTCCAATCATCTCACTGTAAAGGAGGAAATAGTCACAGAAGAAATGCAGCCTGCTCATTGTGACATAGTTCTGAAGCAAGATGTGGGAAAAGAAGCCTTGAACCCCAGGGTGAGGTTTTTGGTTTCTGTTTTTTGTTTTTGAAGGCTGACTAAGGTATCTATGATTAGCATGCTGACACCTGTTTTTATTTAGACTAAATGTTTATATATTTTTAGTGATTGGAAAATACAAAGAATGATATTTTATAACACATAAAAGTTGTGAAAAGCTCAAATGTCAGTGCCTATATGAAAGTTTAATTTGGGAGGTGTCATGTCTTTTCATGTGAGCAAAAGCTACAGGTGTTTTTTTTTTTTTTTATAGAGGAGATGGCATTGCCCATCATCTTGAAAATATACAATCCTTCCTTCAGAAGAAAAAAAAGACCTAAGAGATTAATATATAAAACAAATCCAAAAATTAGCTTTCTATGGTTTCCACTCTCAAAAAAAAATACATAAATTATAAGTCATCAAAATCCAAGCTTTAAAGGCCAGATTGAGAATGTCGCTACCCATTTTACTCTCCCCATGCTTTGGTCTTGACTTGTTTTTTGTTCTAGGCAAGTTTAATTTGACTGCATGGACACTTTCAAGTGAGCTTAACAGAGGAGGATTTACTAAGGCTCCAGATGAACTCAGGGAAATCCAGATTCAGATCACTGCAAAGCCCTCCAACAGGCAAGCACCGAAAGGGGTTCCTACATTTTCTTGTAGCTCCTGCTACTTTAGAAATAAAAACACAATCACCTTCTTCCTGGTGCTACATCATGCTTGACACAGTCAACTCCTCACAAGTGTTTCGTCTCCTAAAATCAAGAGCCTCTCTCACTTCATTCTCACTCTGAGTTATTTCAAAACTTGACTTTGGATTGGGTCCCAGGCAGGCACTGTTTTCTGAACTCAGCTTTCAGTACTTGCTAGATGATACAGCTATGGTTGAATAAAGGATTGCCCAGGTGTTTATTGACACAAATACTTTAAAACATACAAGTGTCCATAGTCAGAATTTAAGTTAATGGGATGTAACAAAGTCTGTGATTCCCCTTCTCCGAGATCAAGAATTCAATCTCTTCCCATCTTCCATAATCTGACAGACATCTGTCTGGGAGTGAACAGCCCTCTCTGGGGTCGGGTTAGGTGTTGCTATTTCCAGGGATGTTTCCTTTGGAAGCAGTAGTGCTTAAAAGACCACACCTGAGTCTGCCATTTCTTTATTTCTATATATCATTTTGTTCTCTCTAGTGAGACTTAAAATCCTTGAAGGAATTAAAAATCAACTTAATTTTCACATCCATTGTTCTTCCTAATATAACTCATTTATGGGGGCCCAAAATCATTTACAACGCAATCATGCCTGGCAGTCAACATAAAAATATCTCAACAGCAATCTGATTATTTGAGAGCAAAAATATGAAAAACAAACAACCATGAAAAATCACTGCCTGTTTTTCCTAAGTAAAAGGCAAGTTGTGTGTGTTTATGAGTGTGTTAGACACTGAGTATGTATGTGTTTTTGTGTTCATAGGAGTATGTGTACAAGGGTAAGAATTTGTATATGAGTGTGTATGCATATATATGGTAGTTTATGTGTCTATGAGGTGTGTGTGAGTATATGTGGTAGTGTATGTGTGTTTGTATTAATGAAGGTATGTGTGTGTTTATGCTTGTATATTTTCTGAAGAGCTGGGGATCAAAAGGAACCCTCTATTATGATTCAGTTAGAGAGATTTTGACTTTAATATTTCATATCTTGGCTTTAAAACTTATTAATGTGGAGTGTGTAATTTTAGACAAAAACAGAGATACTAGAAATAATTCTAAAATAAAGCCAAGAAATAATATGCATATTAATCACTACTTTTTCTTAAGTGCAGGAGTGAAAATCAGTAAGAAGCTGCTAGTCAAGGTTCATCTCAGGATTTCCCCAATCTGAAAATTCTTAGGTTTGGAATCCTTAAATCTACAACATTTCTTTGAAATCAAGCCTTTGAGACTAGAGTTTATGCTCAGTGACAGAGTGCCTTTCAGAGTCAACGCCTTAACACTCAAAATGAAGGAATTAATTGAAACAAATGAATACTGTAGGTGCTAGTGAGAGTATGCAAGACTGGGCAATGGTTCGTAATGCAACAGGACAAAGAACAGTGACTGAAGCAACTGTTGCTTTACTTCTGCAAAATCAAAGACGACCACAATCCCGATTTATCATCACCAGGACAAACAGCTTCCAACTCCACATGTTAAAACATCAGTAAAAATATATCAAGTGTTTCAAGTGCCATTTCTACTAACCAAAATTTAATCTATGTTTTGAGTTACGAAGGCAATATGACCTTAAAATATTACATATTTATCCTCACTTCATAGTTCATTCCAAAAAAAAATGATTTAGCAGTGAAGAGGACACACTCTGAAAATGTGAGGATCTAAGTTTGAATCCCAGTATCCATGTGAAAATAAAAAGGGTCAGGTACATCTGCTGGTGCTCCAAACTCAACTCAGGAGGCAGAGTCAACCAATCGGATGCCAAGGCCTTGCCTGCCCACCCACACAACCTAAATAGCAAGCTTCTGGCTTAGGGAGAGATCCTGTCTCAAGGGACTACAGGGGGAAGTTAGAGAGGAAGAGGACCATTGTCTGAGTACCTACAGGCACATGTACCTGAACCCACAACATGTACACAACACACACAAGCAAAGAAGCAAATCAAGCTAAGTAGCTTTATAGGTGATAATTTACTTTATGCTAATTTACCTAAGAAGGATAAAATGTGATCACACACAATGTCACAGGGTTTTAGAAATAGAGTGGACTCACCTATATGATAAATAATAACCTTGATTTTCTTTCAACTGATCATTGACATGTGGCAATGGTGGTGATCATGTGTCTATTCCTTAACATCACGTAAATGTGTCCATCTTCATTTGACATGTAAATAACAAAATATAGCATTATCCTCCCTAAGAGAAACTGACTGTATGAAAGTTCGACATATGGGGAAATGATAACATGCCCACGAAAGTCAAGGAGAAGCGCTTACGATATGACATTAAATTCTAGATCTAAAGTTGTTCTGGGAATAGTTATTTACACTGCTGGTAAATTTCATATTACAGGTCCAAGTCTATTGAGTACTTTCCTCTTATTCCCATCATAAAAAAAACCACACACACACACAAAACAAACACTTGTCTAAATACAAAAATCCTATCCTAGACTTCTCATATCTCTGTGTTTAAAGTGCCCACAAACTGCTGCTACCTGTAATGAAATGTGTGTGTGTGTGTGTGTGTAACTGGTTTTCTTAATAAGAAGGAATCAGATACAGAAAGTTTGTATGAATTGTGAATGGTTCAAAAATACAATTTTATTAAATCCAACCATATTTTAATACTGAGCTAAACTTGAGTTATTTTAATCAGCCAGGTTTTCATTTATTATATATTTCTCTTAAGGTTAATATACTACAGACTATATTAATGGACCCAAAAATCCTGTCTTTATTGTGAAATTCAGGGTTTATAATTGACCATTTTCCACCCTTTTCCCTGTTTTCTTCCACAATATAACTGCTTATAGAAAAAAGACCAATATTGATACAGTTCATTTCCCATAGTGCACCTCATTACATGTCAATAAAACATCATTATTGGGTCTGGGAAGATGGTTTAGTGGGTGAAAGCACAGGTTTTCCAGAGGACTCCAGTTTGATTCGTAGAGCCCAGGTTGGACAGCTCGAATCAGCCTGGAACTCCATCTCCAGGGGATCTGACTGCCTTCTCCAGCATTATACTTATGTATACAAACCCACACACAAACACTTAAAGGCTTAATTACACACTTAATTAAAAGCTCAACATATGACTGAGTGTAGTGATGCACACTTTACTCCCACTCATGAAACAGAGCAAGTAGATCTCTATGTGTTCCCAGCCAGGATTACATACTGAGAAGCTATGTAAAAATTAATTAATTAACTAATGTTGAAATGTATTGTATTGTATAATATTGTGCAAATCATCAACAAATGCAGATGTTTGTCTACCAGATATTGAACACTTTCATCTGCTATTAGAAAATATGAACTTAAGAAGTTCTCCCCTTCAAAAATATACTTGCCCCTACAAATATTTGAAGAAGCTCAAAATATGTGACTTAAGTTTACAGAGCATTAATTTCTATCAAAATCAATCTCTTGTCATGTATAAGAAAAAAATCATGATTGCACAGTCTTGAGTGGAGTTCACAGTGATATTGTGTATACATGAATTGAATAAAGATAATAATCTTACCCTTCTACCAAGTAGATATATCAACTGCCTACATCTTCTACCCAGTTATTTTTCTTAACATAGTATTTAAGGAGAAACATGGGAAGTTCTTGGTAATCACTATTCCATTGCAGTAGCATAGATATGAGAAAATTGTGGCCCACAGAATTGAAATTTTTTTCATTTTTTTGTGTTTCTTAAGATTTATGTTAAATTACTTCCTGGTTTTCATGGCATATGTGGAACTTGAGTGTGATAAAATATGAAGATTGGGGTTATTAGAGCAATCGGTACATTGTAGAAAGTACTTTTTAAGTACATATATTAACTTGGAGAGTGTAGTTCAACTCTGCCTTCTAGTGGGTTTTTTTTCTTTCTTTTTTTTTTGTCTTTTTTTTCATAAAATAAAGATGAGACCTATGGCAGGTGGTTATTGTGAGGTGCAAAGATATAAAAAGTAGCTGGCAGATAGCAACTGCTAATGGAACTACACCGCCCCCACCACCCCTGTCCCCGCTCCCCCCGAAAGAACTTCCCTGTACAAGGCCAGTTCCAGTTTCAAAAGGTCATCACTGAGGTGTACTACAGAACTGTGCCCGAGTGCCTCCACCAGTGGCAGAATCCAACAGGCCCACACCAGATGATGTCTCTCAAGGAGGGACACAAACCAGCATGATTAAAGTATTCATGGTGAGACTCTAAGCAACAGGAAAATCTAGAGAGAAGTACCAAGAGACCTAATCAAGGAAGCGTTGTGTCACATCCCAACTTTAAATATAGGTATTCCAGGCAAGCAAATGAAACATCATCTGAGGAGTGCGAACAAGAAGAAAGGTTAATGGGTCATTTAAGAAATAACAGCACAAGATTGAAACAATGACAAGGTACAAACAGATAGTTGGACAATGATGTTAAGACCTGCTTTGATAAGTTCTGAAGACAGAATGGCAGGGAAGCAAGGAAGAAAAGATTTTAGGGAGCCAGTGAGAGAAAATATATCACTCAATGCTGAAAGAAAACATTTTCTTATCATCTGTCCTACCCAGAATAGGTGGACTTAGAATTTAAGCATTCTTTTTCAGTAAGTAAATCTCTCTCTCTCTCTCTCTCTCTCTCTCTCTCTCTCTCTCTCTCGTGTGTTTATATGTGTATGTGTGTGGGGTTAAATCATGGTCATACACGTAATAAGCATGTACTCTAAACTGAGCTACAACCCTGCTTCATAAATCAGTATTTCAAGAGTTCTTATAAATGCCAGTAATTAGTTAAAATACAATATTACAATCAATGGCATTAGCCTGTATACAAAATGCCCATACATTCTGAATCTAAGACCAGGACATATGACCTGACAAAGAGCACCTTATGTCATTTGTACTTAATTATATACAAAGATTACTCAAAG